TGAAGGAAACAAAGAGGACACCAAATGTCCAAACCCCCCAAAAATTACATATAGGCCCAAAATATTGATTGCCTTTGTACCCCTTGTTTAGCCAAACTGTCTGCCAAAGTCCACTCTGCATCCCTTCTGCTGTGGAAGATAAATAAGAACAAACCTCCATTCAGTTTTCTGATACACCGAACTCTGTTCTTCCCCCATTCAAATCCCGCTCAAACTTCCACTTTTTCTTCTTCCAGATCCAGGCCAATAAACCTTCCAACTAATCTCGTGTTAAGGACCTTCAGCCTCTCCACCATCTTCCTTGACTGACTCGCCTCAATCTGCACCACCTTCAGCCTCTCCACCTTCTCACCTCACAAGCTCTCATATCTACAGCTTCTTCTTCTGAATAATATAAAGGTGGAAGGAAGCACCAAAATTTTGATAGGAACATGGCAGCATAACCATACTTCAAGACAAGCTAAACAGATAGATAGAGAGTTGAGAGTGACATGATCATGGACACATATAGTAGCAAACAGTGTCACTGATTCACTTGCAACTTGCAGGACAAGAGGTGAATGGGGATAAATTGTATTGGGGGACAACAACGTAATTATTTCTCCATGACCAAAACAAAAGGGTGGGTAGCATTTCTTAGACTAACTAATTAACTCTATACACTTTGTAAATAACATTCTTTTGCCACATCTAATAAAGTTCATGTTGTAAGAGTTCGGGTGACCTCTTGTCACCAAATCATTGTATTTTCTGCCTGATTGAATGAATTTTTTCTTTATTGATCTTCAAAACAAAAGTTCATGTTACCAATCAAAAAAGTTGATTGTATTATGTTGTTATCTTTTTCTTTAAATTTTAATAAACTTTTTTTCTATTTACCATTAAAAAAAGCTATACAGGCCCAGCTGATTTCAGGAACTCTTTGATGGCTGAATTGCTTGCTCTTTTTTAAGCACTCAAACAGGCATGTTCCAACTACTCAAACTTGATAGTAAAAAGAGACTTCCAGTTGGTCTTAAATTGGCTTTGCTTCCAAATGAAAGGCCTCTAGTCTTTAAGATTTTTAATAAGAAAGGCAAATATTTTAGCATCTGATTTGTGCTCAAATCATTACCAAGATCAGCAGTTAGTCTTGATTGGTTACCAAGAGATCTCTTTCTTTTCTCTTTTCTCTGCCCAGCTTTAAGCTRTGAATATCATATCTGATCCTCACAACCCTATTTATGGGTACAATGCTTTCTTTCAAGATTTAGTAAAAAATCCATGCAATATTAATGATAAAAAAATGGGATATTATTATTAGAAAGATGTAACTGCAATCACATCAGTTTTCTTGCAGCCTAGGTTCTAGGGTTCAAAATACACTGGTTCGACTTGACTTTGGCATCACATCACTTCACTTATGGCGCACAGATAAAGGAAATGGTGATGCAGCTATCCATTTCCAAAGATCCTGGACACAATTACAGATATCCCATTTAATATGCTTACTAGGTAATGACCAGCCCATACTAAGTATGGGGCATCTATGCCTATTATTCTGTTCGAGATTGACCTCATTTGGGTTTCTTATTTAATTTAGAAAATTAAATCAGGTTTAATTTCTAATCGATGACCTATTTCATCTGAAAGGATGGGACCAACACCCTTGAAAACCTTTACAGTGAATCTTTTATGTGAATTAGGAAACTGAATTAGAAATGTTAGTTTGGGTCCAGCATCATTTGAAGGTGGGTAGTTTTTTGGAGATAGTTAGCCACGTATCTGAAGTACTTTTTATGAACATGAAGTGAGTACTTTTTTTGAGAGTGGAGTTAACCATTACTTTTTTCCCGAGAGTTAAAAGAACCGCTTCTAGATACTCTTTCTTGAGAAGATAAATAGCCAGAAGGAATGTTTGTAGGACTATAACCAGAAGGAATGTTTGTAGGAACATCAAGAGATGTCAGGACTTGAGAAGACACAAGAAAAGGCCTTTCTTCAGTATTTTCAGCTACCTTCTCCTGCAAGTGATGCACTAGAAGGGGAAAACAAAATAGTTTTTGATTCGAAGATGTCAGGACTAGAGGGGCAAAAAAATATGGGCATCCATGGAGTAAACTGTAGAGATGGATGAATATTCCTCTACAGTGAAATGAAGAAGAAAAAGGGACATCGAAGCTAAGAGTTTTTGCTTCGAAGAAAGCAGATACAAGGATAGGTGGATGCTAAAGATCAGAGAAGAGAAGAGGGCCACCATTTTCATAGGTGAAGTGGTCGGATGGTTGAAGGGCTTCATGGATGGGATGACTTTCTCCATTAAAAGAATGGGACAGAAGAGTGAAGTGAGTGCAGATGGAAAAAGTTTTGAAGCTGAGCTGAGGAGAAACATGAAAGAGAGCAGGGTGGAGATTGTTCGCAGATTTATTACAAGAGTTTCTGCTGAACATGAAAGACAAACAAGTTCAAAACAAAGAAGGGACCCAGAGGTCTGTGACAATCAGAGTTTCAGAGAAAAATCGAAGGAAGGAAAACAAAAAGAAGGAGATCCACAAGCAATAGTATGTAGTAATATTAGAAGTCGAAGGAGGCTCCTAGATGTAGAGAAAGAAACTTGGGAGAAAAACATCAGACAAAAAAGTGTCAGATTGGGGAAGAATTGTGGAAGCGGTTGTGGAGAGATTCAACAATAAAAGGAATCATGAATATCAAACCTTTCAATGATTTGAAGGCTGTGTTACTTGGAGATGGTAAAGAAGTTGTGATACCCGGTGCTGAGATGGTAGAATCTCCAGCTGGTAGGGTAAGGGTGGAGAGCTGGTATATGTCCTGTAACCAGAATCATATGTCTGAGAGAATCCTTGAGATTCGGCTAGTAGGGCTCCCATTCAATTTCTAGAACAAGGAAATACTTGAAAAGCTGGTTCAAACGATGAGGGGAGTTCTGGTAGCATTCAATCTTCAAGACCCGCATGCCGCGAGAGTAAGAATTGAGGGTCTAATTCCTAAAGAGTTCGTAGATGCATAAACCTGCTCATAGAGGATCTCTGGATTAAGGCTTGGGTTCTTCTGGAAGCTGAAATGTCTCTGTGGATGAAGTGTTCGAAGGAAGAATATGATGACATCAGCAAAGGCTGGGTTACACGTGAAAAGGAAAGAAAGGCCAGTCGTGAATGAAATTAAAGAGTCTCCACGCAGGTTAGGTGTAAAGACACAGAGAAATAGAGTTTGTAGCCCAAATCTCTTGAAAATTGGAGAGTGAGGGTCAGGTGATTGCAATTAGACCTGTTCATGGGCCGGGTAGCCCAACGGCCCGGCCCGGCCCGGCCCGCACCCTGGCCGGGCTTGGTCATATAATTAGGCCCGCGGGCCTGACCTCGGGCTTAACACAGTAAGCCCGACTGTGTTTCGGGCCGGGCTCGGGATTTGTCAACAAAGCCC